GAATCCTGAACCCTAAACCTTAAACCTTAAACCCTAAACCCTAAACCCTGAACCTTAAACCTTAAACCTTAAACCCTAAACCCTAAACCCTGAACCTTAAACCCTAAACCCTAAACCCTGAACCCCTAGACTTCAGAGTCGGAGCTCCAGTTCTATGGTAAGGGTCGGTCGTAGCCATGAGGATACTTAGGTTTGTTTTTTTGACCAACTCGGGGTCTGCGGAAGTGTCCGGAGAGGTGGTTCCAGGTTCAGGATATTTGGGTTTAGGGTGTAGGTTTTAAAATTACGGATTAGTGACGTCAAGGTTGAACCACCCTAAAACTTATGCATTCAAGCCGATCCCTCCGCCAGCTCTTGTCTGGAGTACTCGCCTTGGAATGCTCAATGCATGCGGCACATGTGGGAGTTACGGAAACAATAAACAAACCCTAGTTCGACAGTCAGGTTCTGATTATTCTCAGGATCCCCAAACAAGGTAATATAGAGGCTTTAAAAATTGCCCATATTGTTCCTGAGGGTTTCTGATGATATCCCGAGTATTGAGGCCCCTATATTACCCTGTATTATCCGAGTTTTCTGAAACTCCCATCAATTTCATTTAAGCACTGACTCCTGAGGAGTTCCATGCAGGATGTGACCTCGTTCACAAGACCTGCAGCTTGTGTAATAACATGAACTAACTTTATAGGCCCGTTTTGCTGATGTGCGCCACTTTAAAGGGTTCAGGGTGGCGGGTCTTCTTTGGCTGCTGGTAAGGTCTGCTTACTCCCGGTCATTGCAGCTTGAGTCGTTTGCAAGCCGTCCGAAATCTCAATCTGGCTCTAAAACAGTAGTCCGTATCACCTATATTCTTGCCATCTTGAGATTCCCTAAACCCAATCTTGAGATTCCGGCAGCGACGAACAAGCCGGGCGATTGGTTGCAAGTTGGGTGTCGCGTCAACCTTGAGCGTCAGGGCAAAGGCTAGGCTCATACACGACAGGTACCAAGCCCTTTTGGGGATATTGGTAGCAGCCCTACTTCTCGCCCCAAGCCTTAAACCTAATTGAGACAGACCTACGTTCTGCGGGATATCTTGGCAGCATTCCCTTCAGCTGGTCATATCTAGCCTTACCTGAGCATCCGCGCAGCTGTACAACGATACTTCGGTTCAAGCAGGCAAAGGATGCGAAGGCTTGTTTGGACTTGGGGCTCTTGGTTGTGCTTTGATTGATCCTACAGCCGAGCCTCGCAGAACAATCCAAACACCCCAGTGGAAAAGCCTGCTTTTAATTAGTGGTTTCGGGTCCCCAAATTAGACTTGTATGCCCAGCTGCTGAGCACAAACTACGCTTGCGCCAGCCCCAACTTGTATTCCCGCCCCTCGCAGATGGGAATTTCCGAAAATCAGGGGTACCTTATTATGGGGTCCTTATAATAAGGATCCTATTATTTAGGGTACTATATTAGGGTCCCCAATTCTCGGAAACCCCCAGATTCTGCCAAGTCTGCAGAGCAGATCGCCACTGCTCATCTGCGGAGAAAACGCGCGTGGGTTTTTTCTTTACCTTAAGAGCCCAAAACCCACTTTTTTGTAGGTTCTGATTATAAACCCTAATATGGGATTTATAGGGACCCTACAAAAAAGTAGGTTTTGGGGTTCTGAAGGTTGGGGGGGGGGGGGTCGGATCACCTGCGCAAGTCGCCTTCTTCCTTAAACCCTAAACCCTAAAACACCCTCAAAGCCTCAAGCCCTGGAGCCCCTAGTTCAGGAGCAGATCCTCCCAAGTAGTGGAGCCATGACAAGGACTCCTAGAAGGGTTTGGGGTTTAGGGGTTTAGGGGTTTAGGGGTTTAGGGTTTAGGGTTTAGGGTTTAGTGGGAGAGCCCGTCTTTGGAAGAGCAAGCCTTTGTGCAGGAAGCTAACTAAGTAGAAGACCCCAAGCCGTACACCCCGAACTCTGAACCCTACCTTAACCTACCAGAACCTACTTTTTTATAGGGTCCCTAGAAATCCCATATTAGGGTTTATGATAAGAACCTACAAAAAAGTGGGTTATGGTTGGTTAAGGTAAACCTTACGGGATTTTCGGCGAAGCGACTCGGCGAGCTGGAAACGAGGCGTTAAAAAGAAAATCTAGACCCGACGCCTTATGGGAGGTCTATATACCTTATGGAAGCCTTATAGAAGCCCTATATAGCCTAAACTCCCCACCTGTAGTTTCCTTTAACTAGGCCAAGGCTCCTGACGGGTTTTCAATCTCCTCAATTATGCTTACTGTAGGAGTCTAAATAATTACCAACACTATTTCGGCGGTTCCTTCATATAGCTATAGTATAATGTACCCAAAAACCCCGTTCTAATGGTTACGGCTTCTACATTATACCCTGCACCCTCAAACGCTTACCCTACCTATCCTCTTGAATGAAGACCCTTATTCAGCTCTTCGAAACCTAAATTCCAGAAACCCTTGACCAACTCTTCATCTGAGAGCTAAAGCCCTAAAGCCCCCAACCCCCAACACCCCAAATGAGTAGTTCCCCAAATGAGGCTCCCTGTTCGGGTCCTTGTTATACTTTTTGGGGGACCTACAAAGGGACACTAACCTACCTTAAGAACCCAAACCTACTTTTTTGTAGGGTCCCTATAAATCCCATATCAGGGTTTATAATAAGAACCGACAAAAAAGTGGGTTTTGGGTTCTTAAGGTAGAGAACTACCCAAACCCTGGCTCGACTGAGGGATGCTTGGCACGGGATCTTCAACGAAAGGAACCAAGATCGTTTTTGGGGTTGGGGGTTTAGGATCTCTCAGGGTATACCTCAACCTACCATAACCCTACTTGTTCTGTAGGTTCTTACTGTAAACCCTAGTATAGAGTTTATAGGGACCCCATAGAAACATATGATAGGTTTAGGTAGAGCTTAGGGCTTGCGGGGTTTACAAGGGCTTATAGCGCTGAGGGTGATTAGGATTTAGGGTTTACGGCGCATTAAGGTTTCGGGTTTAGGGCGTAATACGGCCTAGGGTTTGGGGCTTAGGCGCCCTCAACATTGAATAGTAGTTTAATCGCTAAGTCTTTTTAGCCCCAATTCCGACAATCCGGCTCCCCAAACCTTCCCCCCGAGACTCCGAACTCCACTGAGTGAAGCTGACTGTCAGACCTGGCGCATTCATCCCCAAACATCAGGAGCGTAGTTCTCTAAATAAGGACTTTTTTTTGGGTCCTCTTTAGAAGGGTGCCGTATTATTTTGGGTTTCTACGAAGGGACCCTAGCAAAGAGAGCTACCCAGGAACATACAAGACAGGAGCAAGCAATAAAGAGGTTGAAACTACTCTTGGACTGCATGCTTTACGTTCCAATACCCCAAGGCCCAAGGCCTATTCTAATTGTTAAGGCCCGTATTGCATCCTTTGAACTTCCTGCCGTCCAAAGCGAAGAGGAGTAGGCTTGTGGGAGTGTGGGAGAGAAGCCGCTGGGAGGTTTCGAAATCATCTTGGTCGCTGACAAACCTCTTTGCAGCGCAGTGAGGTGGAGTTAGGGTAGGGCTCTTAAAGCATTTAGGGTTTCAGGCTTTACCGTTTGTGGGTGTCTTTGCCCTCGGGCCGTACATCCCACATCCTAAGCCACCAAGCCCTGAGCTCAGTTCATGTCGTCATCCTGGACCACAGGGCCACAGGGTTTAGGGTTTTGGGGTTTAGGTTACACCTTGGCGAAAACTAAAGATTTGGGAAAACGGGACTTACCCATATCCTTTTACGTAATTCCTTGTGCTGGTTTCTTGCTATTTGAATAAGATCCTAGGCCTTTACCAAGTTACCCAAAAAGAAGTGAGTTCTCGGTAAAGACCGGAGTGCTACTTAGACTTTGCCGTTGTCTGCTTCATGCGTGAAAACCCAGGGTTCGTGGCCGAGGGCGAAAGCGCCAAGGATTCAGGCGCCGCTGTTTGTCTTTGTACTTGAAGGCCATGTCTCCGGTTTAGGGTTTACGGTATACAGGTTTGGAGGCGTTGGGGCGAGGATGTAGAATGTTCAGCTCAGAAATAGGACAGGCCAATTGGGGCAACTGTGTTGCCGGGGTCTGACACCCTAATTTAGAGATCTGAATCGCCATATTCTGAACCTCGGGGCCAAAAACAAATCAAGCAACCCCAACACCCAAAACAGCCTAGATCATAAACTCTAGAGCCCATCTGAGTGGCAGCCCGAGAAACTTATAGCTATCTAGGTTTGGAGAAGGGTGCATGACCTCAATTGCTGTACGTGCAAGTCAGGCTCAAAAGCTTTAGCAATGAAGCCCTGTTCTTCGTGTTTCAGGCTTCGCTGGTTTAGCGTAACGGTGTTGAGGGACATCACCCCTAAGCCCTAACTCTAAATATACCCAGCACCCTAAACTTCTAAGCTTCTAAGAACCCTAAACCCTAAAGCATAATGGTAGTGGGCCCCTGAACAGAGCCCTTAAAAGGAACCCTTGAAAGGAACCCTGAGAAGCATCCCTTAAAAGGAGCCCTTAAAGGTATAAACGAAGGCCTGCGGAGCCTGACAACAGGGTTTCCAGCCCCGGAGTACCATGATATACACACCAACCCCTATCTTGACTTATTTAGTCCCCGAACAGAAAACCCTGAGCCAGTTTGACTGTGGGGTTTCGGTATTTCGGGATTTAGGGTTTAGGGTTCAGGGTTTAGGGTTGGAAGGTGCCAGGGTCTCAGGATTTCGGGCTTCGGGATTTAGGGCTTCGGCCTTTACTAACTTGGTAGGCAGATGTAGGCGAAGAAAATTTTCAAGTAGGATTTAGGTTTCAGGGTCGTAGGTTCCGGGGACCAGTTTTAGGTCCACCCTAAGACCTGTTCGAAGATTCCCTCGTAGTAGGGTTTAGGGTTTAGGGTCGTAGGTTACCTCTGCACAGACTGAGATGCAAGAGCAGTGAGGTCCACCACACGTCGATACGGTAGAGCAGGATCGCACCGGCACGGAATTCTACTTGTCCTCTTCGTTTTGTGGCCTGAGACTCTCCTTAAACCCTACACCCGAAATGCGAATCCGTGGAAGATGGATAGCCCTAAGCAGCGCGTAGAAAGATCGTTCGGGTTCTTATCGTATACCAGCTTTGCCAGAGCATGCCCTAAACCTTATTCTAGTCTATAACAGGCTCCTGCATTACCACGGCGAAGCTTGTTTACTCTTGCCCGAAAAAGCCTCACAACCGATGAAGCCGTGGAAGGATGGCATTGCTTACAGCCTACCGTCCAGTCGAAGGATGATAACGCAGCAGACTATGCATGTATGCATGCATG